GCTTTATGTCCTAGTGACCCACACCCCGAAGGCTTGGTTGGCCCAGACGACTCGCGACCAAGGCTTTGATCCCGGACGGAGCGCAGTCCCCTGCGGCACTTGCCACTACACCACTTCGCCCTTCTGAAGTAGTAAATGAAGTAGTAAATCCAGCAAATGCATGCATGTGCTGGATTGTTCGTTTATCTTTTTCTTCCAGTCATTCGCGACCGATTGAAAGGCGTTCGTACTGGAGATGAGACGAAAAAACTGCAGGCGTTGCGAACTGAAATGAATGCCATCAACCATGCATCACAAGAGATGCTTAAGAACAATGTCTTCCAAAACTACCAGCAGTTCATCGATGCTTCCAAAGAAATTTCACGTGAGTCGAACGTCATAATTTGTTGAATACAGACCAAATCACATTACATAGGTCTCTGTTCTCATCCACCTCCTTGAACTACATTATCATAGGTTTTTGCCGTGCAATCTAGATGCCAGTGTACAGTGCACTAGCTTCTGAGTTCTCAATACCCCAACGCGTTAGGCCGAAAAAGGCATCGATACAAGCAGCCTCTAGCCCTGGTGTCCGAGTCCTGGATCCGTCGCGCGTTCGCAAAAATTGCAAGCTCCATTCGAACATTTGAAACACTGAATATGAAACAAGTAGGGTCATGAACAGTCGTCATTCAATCCATCACTATCAAGCAGAAGTAGCATCGGGCTCGGAGAGCACCTCGCAGAATTTCGTCGCACGACGGATCGCGGACTCTGACACCAGCCGTAGTAAGAACCGTTCAATTTAGATCTTGAGCAGGAAATCTATCAGCTCTCGTCGCTCCTACTTGATCAGAAACTGCTAATTGAAAATCTCATGCAGATGACAGGCAGGTGTAAATTCTCTCCTGTAGTGGTATAATTTTAATGAGAATCTTTTTTAAGGAGATGACAAGACATCGATACAAACAGCCTCTAGTCACACCGCATCTATTAATTCTGTCACTCCTATACAAGTTCTCATGCAGAAGATGGATGGAATCGCGGTCGGTTTATGTTTTGGCCCCCAGACAATACCTAACCATTTGGGCGCGGCCGCGGCGAACGCGGCCGAGTTGATAGGTGCCCGCGAACTCAGCACAGCACAGTTCGCGGGCACCTCGAGTGCGTTTTCAACGGTTCGCGGGCACAATCGACTCGGCCGCGTTCGCCGCGGCCGCGCCCAAATGGTTAGGTATTGTCTGGGAGCCTTATGTCTTTCGTTCTCTTTCCTAATTTTGGAAGTCGAAATTGAATCTGAACTGATTGAAATACATGCTAACTTTCACCGCGTTGAAGATTTTGACTTGCGGATGCTGTATGTGACCAAGTTGACTTGTCAATGAGCGGAAGTCAAATGTCTCTTTTAGAGTATTCTGAACAATATGCGTAGCACAGACAAAGTGTTACTATATGGCGAGATGATGCTGCTGGATCCTGAAACGAAAGAGGATATTCATAGGGCAATGCTGGTGCTGCTAACTGACCGACTCTTGATAGGAAATATTACTCCCTCCGGAAAATATAGGTATTTTTCGCATCACTTCGCAGTCCGTATGTACATATTTCACTCTACTAGAAAAGATTCTTTTTATCAGAGTTGGTGTTTACATAGTTGTTTACATGGAGGAGTTGTACTTTGTGGTTTCACCGCTTGAAAGCGGCGAGCCGTTAAAATGATGAGGATTAAAGCATACAGAATTGGTCAATCCCTTCTTGTACTGAACCACACATTCCATGTGCGTTCAGCATCGCAGTGATATTTCTCAGCGTTTTATCCTCCCGGCCAAGCCTGGTACCAATTATTGACCCGTAGGGATGGAGTGTTCAAATGACCAGGGCGGTGTAAGGCCAAGGCTTTAATCGCCAACCGCGGGCACGGTAAGTGGCGCCACTTGCCACTACTCAACGGCAGGAATGCCAAGTTGAATCTCGTTCAAGTCACCTGGACATTCCATCCTTATGGTACTAGACTAGTCCGATGCCAGGCATCAAAAAGAATGAAGGTACTTCTACTACGACATTCCCCGGCATCACTGTGTAGACCAGCAGCATTTAAGAATTGTTATAATTTCGAATTACGGGTTTGGTCAGCGATCATTAATAGTTATCCTTTATTAATGTATGGATAATAGTTTACCCCATCGCTCTCAGTCGTTTTATGCTCTATTGTACGGCACACAGAACAACGACCTTTGTTACTCTGGAATAGTTTGTTATTAAATATTGTAGGGCTATTGTTTGGAAACTAGGTTTTTTTTTCTATTTTGAAGTTACTTCGCCATAATTCGTTGTCATTGAAGTAAATAAATTTCAGCTTGGAATCAACGTTTTCACTGAGTAATCTGGCAGTTGTCAATGTGAAAGATAGGGAGAGTGGACCCGCCAAAGCTGATCAGCTCTTGAAACTACTCGTGTTTCCTGAACAAAGGTAATACTCGTTATTCTGGGATTCATTTCGCTTTATTGCCAGGCTGACTGTGTTTTAAGATAAGAACTTTGGTTTTATCTGCCCTTTAAACACTATCGATCAGTCCGGTTCTAGTCACGCAATAAAAATCTAGAGTGGGCATGATAGCGGGGGTTCTTAGTTCTGCTGTAAAGTAAGAATCCGCACTACTGCGCCAAACTTCGTATGGCGGACTCTCAAATTTGTTTAGACTATTATTCCTTCCATGAATCTTGCTAATGAAATTATCCCGAACAGCGTTGTCGTTTGCGGATCCGTAGTTGGTTATTCCAAACCGCCT